CTAAGATTTACGTTAGGTGGACGGATTTGAAAATACCTCTAAAAATTGAGTTTTTTATTAATAAAAACAGATTTTTTTTGATATTTTTTGAAAAATCACTTCAGATGACTAAACAGTTTAAGCTTAAAAAGTTTGCATAAGAATATTAAAAAAAAAAATTCTACAGAAACATAATAATTAGATTTATGATGCTGTTTTTGAACCTTTTTCAAAGACTGGTTTAAGAAAAAATTGAATAACTCAGTCAAAACCTTACCAATTTAGACTTATGAGGTATCATTAGTAAGGTATTTTCTCACCCTTTTAATTTCTTGGCGAATAAGCTCATTCAAAGTATGAAAGAGGAAGGTAAAATAAACGAATGAGTTTTTTTGAAAAGAAATAAAGAGTGAGAAAATACCTTTCCACTAATACATCATAAGTCTATATCGGTAAAGTTTTGGAGCAGTTATTCAAGTTTTTCTTACACAAATCTCTGAAAAGGGTTAAAAAACAGCATCAAAATTCTTATTATTATGATTCCGATTATCCGATTATACAATTTTTTAATATTTTTATGTAGATTTTTTAAGCTTAAACTGTTTTGTCATTTGAGAGGATTTTTTCCAAAAAATCCTTTAAGAAACTATTTTTATTCATAAAAAACCTCATTTTTAGAGGTCTTTTCAAACCGGTCCCGCTCACGTAAATCTTAATAATTTTCCAAAATATTTTGGTAGAAGTCTTAAAATATACTAAACTTGGTAATCCCGCCGGAAAAACCGCAACTTTTTTACCTTTTGCCTTTTTACGCGCCAAATAAAATAGGTTTGCAATTGGCAAAAACATCGATGTTGAGAAAAAATATTGATGTTAGCAGCTTATATAAAAACATCGATGCATCGATATTTCCATCGATGTTTCTCCAGCTCTAGTGTGAATACCCAAATATTTTTCTTTATCCCAATCACGAATATTAATTCGTTGAAACTTTTCAATAGAACACCGCTGATTGTACCAATCTTTTGACAAAAAAAATGTTACAAATTTTTTTATTTTGTACCAATAGAGCAATATAAAAATGTACAAATCTGTACAAATGTACCAATCAAGTGTCACTGTCTTAGAAATTTATAAAATTAAAAAAAAATCAAAAAACTTTCGTAAAAATTTCGAGTTTTTTAATTAGATTCTGAGTATGTAGTTTTGTAGCCCATCGAATTCTAGTAGAATACAGTACAAGTTTCAAATGGCTAACAATTAGGATTGATTTTTTAGAATTTTTAAATAGCTCGATATATGTAGGAAAGTTTGTTGATTTTTTTTTTAATATTGCACAAAGTTGGAAACTTGGATTTACACGGGGTTTGTTAAAGAATGAACTATATTTTTAGAAAAAAATAAACAAAATTAAATAACAACAAAAATAATACTTTAAAACTTGGAAAAAAGTGGTTCGGCTATAATTTTTTCACCACTGTATGTATTTTTTAATATCTTTAATTGGGCATGCACATTGCAAATAAAGGAAGTACATAACAAAACTAAAAAAATATGCTTTTTTTGCCTTTTTCAAAGCTCATTTTGCCTTTTTTTCAAGTTTTTAGTGCCTTAAAACCCAGCTTTTCTATAGTTGGGGGGGGGGGGAGCTCCTACAACCTTAATTTACCTGAAAGGGGAGTCGTATAGTCGGACACTAATGTGAAAAATTTGGTTTTCATATGTTCATCCGTTTCTGAGAAATTGAATTTTGTCCACTTCTCTCTACAAGGCTACTACTGTGCATCGTCTAATGGAATCAAATCTGATTCATCCTAATATAATCTAATCTAATATGGTGTAAACTGTTAAAATTTACTACAGTTTATTAAAATATATATAAAAAATTGCTAATATACATATGTTTTTCAAAAGATGAAAATTCACTTATTAACTGACTCACAAAAAGGAGAAGGTTATCAATGCGTCGGAATATTTTTTTTATGTACATATGTTACCGCATAACTTTGGACTGCGTCAACCGATCTTCATAATTCTTTTTTTAAAGGAAAGGCGTTACCCCACAGGTGGTCCCATACTAATTTGGTTTACGATAATCTTAAAGTTTTATATGAGAATTGAAGTCGGTTTTGTTTTTTGCTTAAAAATTACTTGTTTTAATATGACCAATTCATCGTTCCCAGCTTTGGCTTTACAACCCTGTGGAAGTTGTAACATTGTTAGGCTATATAAATGACATGTTACTGAGCATGCTCCATTTTCATTACTGTACATATGCATGTGTGAATATTGTTTTGTATTTACCCCGTTACGCGATTGCGCTTTATAGAAATCAATGTCAGTGGAAATAAAAAACATTTACAAATAATAGATTGCGCCTCTTAAAAGAATATTTTCATTTTGATGTGAAAACCTATATTTTTGTTTTTGACAAATTATTAACAAATAAAAACAGATAAAAAATAGTAAATCCGAAACTTGGAAGTATGAGAACTATTACTAAAGTTAAGTGCAGTTAATGTTATTCGCAAGTAAATGTTATATGTGCAAGTATATACATACATATATGTTAGTAGATTCATTGAAACAACCTTATCTTACAATTGCATTATTAATTGAGATAAAAACTAACAAAGTGGCAAAAGAGGAAATAATTTTATAAATCAATAGTATCCAATTACCATTTTGTAAAAAATAAGTGGCAGTTTAACAAGTTCGCTAAATCATCGATTTTATGTGATTTCATTTGCTATGTGAGTACATACAAAATTTTTCCACCCTAATCATATAATAACACCCCACCGAGACTGGCTATATATGTATGTATGTATGTACATTAGGGTGGTCCAAAAATGCATGTGAAAAAGTAAAGTCGGAATTTTTATGCTCTCACCCCCTACGATAGTTCTATACCGAAAAAATATATCCCTATTTTTTATTTTGAAATCAAAAATTAGTTAGAGGTCGCTCAAAGCGCCCAAAGTTTTCCATGTGTTTTACATGGGGAAAAAAACAACTTTTCGTAGAAATGGTATAGAATTCTTAAGAATCAATATTTTTCTATCGGAAAACTGTTTATCTGCAGGAGACTCCCAATAATAGTACCCAATTGTTTATTTAACAATTTTTTCATCGCAACTATAATTTATGGGTCCGCCAAAAACCCACAAAAACCCCGAAAAATGCAATGGGCAGACCAAAAAAAATCGTTAGTATTAAAAAATGGTTAAATAAACAATTGGGTATTATTATTGAAAGTCTCCTGAAGAGAACCAGGGTTTTCCGATCGAAAAATATTGGTTTTCAAGAATTCAACACCATTTCTACGAAAAGTTGCTTTTCCCTATATAAAAATACATACAAAACTTTCAGCGCTTTGAGCGACCTCTAAATATTTTTTATTTTAAAATAGAAATATAGGGATATAGTTTTTTCGATATAGAACAATCCTAGGGGTGAGATTATTACAATTCCGACTTTACTGTTTTGGGACCACCCTAATGTACACAAATAGTGCTCTTTTACAACAGAAAACCAAACCGAATTCCGTTACAAATCAATGAATATTTACAGATAGGTAGGAGTACATACATACAGGGCCGTGGAGAGAAAACTCGGGCCCGGGATTAAAAAATCAAAAAATAAAGTGTATAAAATTAAAAGCATATGTCCCAACTCGCCGAATACGAAACAGAGGGGAAAAATGTTTTCTCAGGTTTTTGATTATATCTGGGTCATACATATTTTGTGGTATGAGACAATATAAATATTAACACAAATCTCCTTCTCTCAAATATGAGAATTCACTTAATCCTGAGACACCGTTAAATTAATGAAAATTTAAAAAGAACAACGTGAAATTAAGGGCTGTTTATATTTAAGGGCCTCAATTTGTTGCATTATACTTGCTTGTCTTCGATTGGCTTGTGTTACTTTGAAGTTAATAAAAAAGTATTCGACGCAATAATCAGTGATTACCTTTTTTAATGTAAATAAAGTCGGCATCATCTTGTAAGGTAATGTCCATAATACGATAAAGTTGTTTGGCGCGGAATCCACCAGGCTAAAAATTGGAAAAATTTGGTTTACTTCGAGCATTTTCGGCCTTCTTCACAATAAAGCAGTTTCCTATAATCTTCATTATCCATGTGTTTTCGGTGCAAAACTATTTGTAACGTAAGTCTTTTTAACCCATTTCACAAAAAGGAAAGGTTATCAACTCGTCGGAATATTTTTTTTTCACCAAGAATACGTCTTACGTTTCTATATGGAGGCTACCTAGAAAAAAATCGGTAATCGCTTTTAGTGTTAACGTGTTCTAGAAAGCATAGCGTTATAAGGTCTTCGAATTTTTTCGCTTCTTTTAGGCATTGCCGGTAATGGAAAGTAGAATGTCCTACAATATTTTATTTATTTCGCTTCTCTGTTTCATTTCGGAGAATGCAAAGTAGAATGTCCCATAATATTTTTTTTTTAAATTCGCTTCTTTGCAAAAAATCGGTAATCGCTTTAGTGTTAACGTGTTCTAGAAGAAATAACGTTATAATGCCTTCGATTTTTTTTCGCTTCATTTAGGCATTGCTGGTAATGCAATGTAGAATGTCCTACAATATTTTATTTATTTCGCTTCTCTGTTTTATTTCGGGGAACGCAAAGTAGAATATCTACAATATTTTATTTGTTTCGCTTCTTTGCTTCATTTCAGGGAATACAAAGTAGAATGTCCCACAATATTTTATTTGTTTCGCTTCTTTGCTTCATTTCAGGGAAAGCAAAGTACAATGTCCTACAATATTTTTTTTTTATTTCGCTTCTTTGCTTCATTTCGGGGAATCAAAGTAGAATGCTGTATCGTAGTCTGCTGAAAAATAGAATGAATATCCAAAAATTCTTTTTCTACCGTTACTTTCTGTGAAAATTTGTCTCGCATAAAAATCGTGTTTTGCTTGTTCAATTTGCAGCGAAGTTGAAGTCAGTCAATGAAGTGAAGTACAAGAGTGAGGAAGTACAATTTTAAGCTTAATTAAATATGCATGTACGTGCATACCGATTTTTAAGTAAAATATAAATACCTAAATACATACATATGTGGGAATATATTGTGAAGCTTACATTCAACAAGAAGAAGACGTGAACAGCCATGTATCGACGAGAAGACGATGAAGACGCAAGAGAGAAGACGATTTGAAAAACGACGAAAGACGAGTTGAGTTCAACGACGGCGATTAAACCGAAAAGACGTGTCGGCGAGATAGCAAATTCAATTTGAAGATGTGCCATTTAAATACTTTTGTATTCTTATTAACTATTAATTTTAATTGAACTCTTAATTACTTAAATAAAACAATCTACACATATGTATGTATAAAAACTGATTTATATAAATTTTAATTAATTTTAATCTTTTAAGACATTTTCTGATTTTAATTCAATATAAATAAGTATGTACTTATCTAGGCATTCTACATTAGTTTCTTTGTAATACCATGTTCTGACCGACATTGAAGACATGTTTTCGTTGCTAAAACTGGTTTTCGACCTAAAACTTGTGTTTTCGTCAATGTAAAATCTGTCAAACGAAAACAAGTTTTCGCTGAAAACCACTTGAAAACTTACATTCCACTCATTCCAATCGGTGTCTGCACTAGTTTTTTCGATTATTTATCGAAATGGAAGTCATATTTTATCATCTTTAATACGCCATTTCGGATTTATTGTTAATTGGCTGACCAAAATATAATAAGCATGCAAGTAAAAGGGTTTTAATGAAAAGAAATTGAAGGAAAAGTATTTTGGTTTTGTATTTGTGCAGCAAAACTGTAAACAAAGGATGTAAGAAATGTCAACGAAAACACCAACAGTCGGTGTGAACAGCCTTCAGCCCACAATCCCAAAACTCATTTTCAAGATGTTTTCGTTGTCGGTCAGAAAATTGTATAAGGTATTCTTTGTTCGCTTCTCTGGATTCGGTTTATCCATGCGTTCACCCTTCGTTCGAAGGTAATGCTGTGGTTAAGGGCTTACGGCCAATGACATGCCCATGTTAAAATAAGGCCTTCTTGAAGCGAAAGTGTAAGCGATTCCTATCGCCTAGCTCGTTTCCACTTCCGTTCCTGTGGTAATCGTGTTTTTTGCTGGGTATGCTCAAATGTTTGAGTTGTAATTTGTAGACCTCCACGAAAACCCTCACTGCACGAGAACTAATGAAGCGATTTCAAAGAAAAGTGTGGCGTTTCAAAGATAAAATCCCAAACCTATCGACTGATTCATTTTTGTAAGTAACCAATTCGGTTTCTGTCGTAGTATTGGCTTATTATGTGGTAAATTTTGAGCCTTTAAAGTGCTTGCAGATATAACTTTAATTTTCGGGATACAGTTTTTTTTGGAGCAATAGAAATATTATCGTGTATAAATTTTATATGAATGCAACTAATATTGAGCATTTTAAGGCAAAAAATTGTTGAAAATATTTTCAAATTTTTTTATTACCAAAACGCTTGAAAACCGTTCGAATGATTTTTTTGTTGTTTTCTTTAATCGAAAACTCAAGTTTTCTCCTTTCGTTTGGTATATAGGAAGTATTGGTTGATGACTTCTAAGTATGTTTATTTTATTCAAATATGTGGGCATAAATGATTTTCCATACAAAATCACTTCGTCATCATTTAGCAAACACGCGCATGCGCTAAGAGAGAGAAAGAGAAAAAAAGTATTTGTGTGTAGGTATTTCGGCTTTTGACTAACAGATGGCTGGATGGATTTATAACCTAATCGCAGCGTATGTATGTAAATACATACATAGGTGCATATGTTGATTGCTGTAAATGTGGACCTGTTTTTCTTTTAGTAATCTATGTACATATGAATGCATAATACGCGAAAACGTTTTCATCATATCAGATCTGTAACAAAATTAAACGGCTTGGCCTGTGGAGGTGCAATAACTTCTTATTTTTTCAAAAAGAGTTGCCACCTGATAAAAAATTAAGTTAAAGTTATTTTTAAGTTAAATCAATTATTACACCATGAGTAGTGATCGAAATGGTTTTGAAAAGGCTTTAATTCTTAATTATATGTTGGAGGGTTGCCACCTGTTTCAAAAAGTAAGTTGAATTTAAGAAAGGCGGAAAATTTAAATATATATTATGATAAGGACGTCAGACGAAAGAGGTTGTAGTTTGAAAACATTTTGCAGAAGGCTGCCACCTTGTTACAAAGTTAGATTCAATATAAGCAGTAGGTTAAATAAATTACTTCAATATGAATATAAATCAAAACTGCTTTGAAGAAACTTTTGTTCCAAACTACATGTAAGAGGGTTTCTACCTGATTTTATAATTAAAATAAATTTGAGTTAAGAGTATTAGATAATTTAAATATCTACCACAATACAAGTGTCAGACGAAAAAGGTTTAACGAGGTTTTGGTTTAAAATTAATTTGAACAGGTTTGCCATCTGTTTAATAAGTCGAATTAAATTAAATTATGTGAAATATTGAAATATTGGCGTCAAACGAAGGAGTATTAAGAAATATTTAGTTTGAGCATTTATAACATTAAAGAGGGTTTCCACCTGTGTGAAAAGTTAAACTTAAATTATTTAAGAAGTCAAATGAATTACATATTAAAGTATGAGTATAAATTGACATGGGTTAAAAATGTTTTTTTTCTGAACTTTATTTAAGGGTTGCCATATATTTTAGAAATTAAATTCAACTTGAATTAAGTGAATGAGATACACATTTTAAATATC